GGCTGGCAGAAGTAGATTTCAACCTTGGACCCAGAACAATCCAGCTGCACATCTAGTCTTTTCCTCATGAACTGCTCTGGTGTTTGGAACTACTAATCTGTGTTTTTAGTTTGGTTACTTTTCCAAAATTACTTTTTTTTTTTGTAGTGAAAGATGTGATTATTATTTTTTTTTTAACTTTCTTTTTTTTTTTTTTTATGGAAAAGTAAAAGAAAAGATTCTTTCATTGTTTTACAAACACTCCCCCAGGTCCCCTCCACCATGCAGCCCTCGCTCTAGTCTCCTGTGATGACAGAAATACCCAGTTACATCTCTCTTTTAGACAGTTCTCTCCCTCCTCTGTTTCAGTGCAGTATACATTATTGAACCCATCTTACTCAGTCTCTCCCCAACCCCAAGGACAGTCCCATTCTACAACAGTGGCATCATGTAATATTTGTCCTTTTGTGACTGGGATATTTCACTCAGCATAATGTTCTCCAGAGTCAACCATTTTGAATAATATTGCATGAGTTCCTTGTTTTTTAATGCAGCAATATACCACAGCTTCTCTAGCCATTCGTTTGTTGATGGGCTCTTAGGTTGTTTCCAACTCCTTGCTATTGTGAACAAAGCTGCAATAAACATGGGTGTGCATATATCTGCTTGGATGTCAGCTATGGTCTCTTCAGGGAAAGATGTGATTATTGAATGTGAAAGTAAGTTATATTCTAGATCCATCATTGTTTTTGTTTTCAAGTAAATCTTTGTCCTACTTGTATTTTTATTGGTTTGTTTTTCTGTTTGTTTGTTTGGTTTGGTTGTTTGTTTGTTTTTACAATATAGGAGAAGAGTCAAATAAATTGGTATTTATCTACTTCCTAAATGAAGGCTTTTATCCCCAGTTTCTTTTTTTTTTTTATAGTGGGGGGGGCATCATTTTGGTCTAAAAGGAATTCACTTTGAAGTCAGATATTCTTTAATCTGTAAAAGCAAAACCTAACTGACATTCAAATCTTAGAGGTGCTATGGCTATAAGAAGCCTAAAGGTAAGGTACTTCAGTCTACAGTTGTGGAGTCATTCTTGATTAGTCTCTGACCCATGTGTCACAGCATAGAACTGCTTCATAGAGATTTCTGGACTATATTTTCATTTGAAAGTCACCAGACCTTTACTTCATAAAAACTCTGGATGAGTCCAAAACATTAACCTATAAGTTAGTACTAGTTGAATACAAACCGTTTTTGTCCATTGTGAACCTTGGAAAGCCATTAAGAAAGAAATGAAACCACATTTAAAAAAAAATCACACTGTAGGTTGAAGTTCTTCTGTGTTGATGTGCCTGGTGTTCTGGAAGAAGCCAGAGGAATGGCACAGGTGCTGTCCTGCCTCTGCAGGCCATTTGCTTTGTAACCTTTAATAAATGACTTAGCATCCAATTTTCTCCATTTGAAAAGGGGCTGTGGCACTTACATAACGAAATTATTGTCTTGTTAGATGCCATCCAGTCAAGTCCAGCCGTCCACTCAGCAACATTGTAAACAATAGATTTGAACTTGGCCCTCTCCTGTGTGTCCTCCTCAGCTCTGACCCATCTGGGCCCAATGCCACAGTCACTGCATCCATTCAGCTCGTTGAGGATCTTCCTATCTCTCCTAGACTCTCCATCTGCCAAGCAGGATAGCCCTTTCCAAGGAATACTCCACTTTTTTCTGTTTGCAAAGGGACTGTGGCATATGTTCAACAAAAAGTCTCAGCAGTCTTATTTTTTGACTATTGAAATGCTTGGACTTGAAGGAAAAGTAAAAGTAGGAAATTCTTAGATTTACTGAATTGCAAGGGATAAAAAAAATAAAGAAACTTGGGGAATTGAATATGTACTTACACAAAACCAAATAGTTTATGCAATAAGATACTGAGTTTAATGATGAGATTTAAATTATAATTACAAAGTGTTATTTTGCAACTAGATCTGTATAGAATTAACTCTTAGCCTAATGTTTTAACCTATATACCTTATTTGTCAAGAGCCTTGATTGTGTTTCATTTTCAGAGACAGAAGAGTAGAAATAAGTTAGAAACCAAAAACAGGATAACTTTTTTTATTAAAGAATAGCCCTTTCCAAGGAATGCTCCACTTTTTTCTGTTTGCAAAGGGACTGTGGCATGTGCTCAACAAAAAGTCTCAGCAGTCTTATTTTTTTACTATTGAAATCCTTGGACTTGAAGGAGAAGCAAAAGTAGGGAATTCTTAGATTTACTGTATTGCAAGGGATAAAAAAAAATAAAAGAAACTTGGGGAATTGAATATGTACTTACACAAAACCAAATAGTTTATGCAATAAGATACTGAGTTTAATGATGAGATTTAAATTATAATTACAAAGTGTTATTTTGCAACTAGATCTGTATAGAATTAACTCTTAGCCTAATGTTTTAACCTATATACAGTATTTGTCAAGAGCCTTGATTGTGTTTCATTTTCAGAGACAGAAGAGTAGAAATAAGTTAGAAACCAAAAACAGGATTTTTTTAAAAAACTTTTTTTAGTAAAGAACTTGTAAGTAACATCCAAAAGTCTCAGGTAATCTGTGTTTAGTACATTTTTCCCCTCCTGAAAATAAGCTTTTCTAAAAGTGGCTTACTGAGAATTGAGAAAATATTTTTCACTTGTGCATTTTGTCATTTCCAAATCCATTTAACTCAGGCATTTGAAAAAAAAAATAATTTTCCACAAAAACAAGTTTGACACCCAACTATTCAAAATAGTGCCTTTGCTTACTTGTTTTCTTTCCCATACCTGTTGAAACCCTGCATTCATCTTGTATCTCTCTCATCCAAGTTTGAACCACTGAAAAACTGGGCCTCGTGGAAACCTTAGCCAAGGTCTTCATCGCTATATATGCTAGCAGCCAAATCACCAGAATGGCTATTCATTTCTTGTGAACTGCTATGTTAACAATGACTTGAAGAGTCATTTATTACTAAAGAGTAGCACCTTGGCAACTTTAAGCCATTTTGCGTTAACAAGTTTGGACATCCCTTTTTTTAAGCCAGATTGAGTAGACTTGACTCTACAGGGAAGCAACCAATAAAGTGGTAATCTGGGCTTTTCAGAAGGCTTCTCTGGGGCTTCTCCCTAATCCTGGGCCAGAAGAATTATTACACTAATACCTAATACTGGGAATGAGATGATGCAAGTGACAGCCTAGCAAGCCACCACACAGAGCTATTTGCTGATGCCAGGCCAAGCTTTAAAAACCTTAAAACACAGCTGTGGCTCTGGCTGTTTAGAGGCTAGTCTGTCACAGAGCAGAAGAGCAATGCCTTTGCCTTTGAGAAAGCCCACACGGAGCACACCCACCCAATCTAGGTGCATGGGTCAACTGCAGGATGTTGATGATAAATATTCCAGGAATTGAATGGGAGGTTTTGCCATAGCTAGGAAATATTAAAAAGATGATGAAGGAAGAGTAATAAAAAAGAAGAATAGGAACCCTCTGAATGAGAGTGCTGGATGGTGGGTGTTAGGGTTAGTGGGTGGTTTTTATGAGTTCTATCCCAGAATCAGCCTTGAATACGTGCGTATTGGGAGCACATGTGCAGGGCAGTGTGCTCAAACCATACAGAGGTCTTGTTAGTCCTGGCAGCAGTGTGGTTTCTTTTAAGGCACTCAAATTAAGTTCAAGGGAGAGGGAGGGAAGCTGATAGCTCTTGGAGTCTTTGATACTCGGCACAGAGTAAGCATATACAGAACCATCTTCTTTTCTCTACACTTTTTCACTCCCAGGAAAATGGAAAGACCTCTAGTCTTTGGTCTTTTTATAGATTTAATAAACTGGGTACCTTAATACTGTAATAGGGTATAGAAAGGAGTTATCAGCTTCTTTGCATTGTGTTCCTACATCTAATGGTTTTTGGAAGCAGATTTAAGCCCTCTTTTTCTTGAGCTTTTTATCAGCAGCTTCACTCAATTCCTTTTATTGCATTAAGTTTCTGAAAGTTTGAGGTTTTAGGATTAAATGCCTACAGATAAGAAAGTTTTGAGTTTTATATTTTAGTTTTGACTGGTTTGAGATGAGAAGCCTAGTTTTGTTTGTCCCCAGACCAATTCTTGAAGGTCTCCTGTTTTAGCTGATTGTTACAGCGCCACCTTCTGTTAGATTTTCTTTCCAGGACCTTTAGTCACCGTCCGCCACGAAGGCCAACAGTTCGCACATAAACTCAAGAAAAGCTTTTGAGTGAAACAGAGTTCGAGTTAGCCAGTTATACTTAAAAGCTAGCTACTCATTAGCTCTTATTGTAACACAATTTATAATTCAGCTTACCTCTTCTCAGTAGAAAATATTTAAACAATCCTTTGTTGCATAATATTTAAACATATGGCACAACGTATTCTAGTATATTAAGGTTTGCTGTATAATTCTAAAATTTGGAATTGGTAAACACTTGTTTAGGGGAGGATGTAGACATTAAAAGAGGTCATTAGGAAAGTCAGCCTCTCATTTATTCAATAGAATTTGTTAGCAGTGAAGTAGGCAAATTAGGCTAACCTAAATCTGTCAAAAATAACTTGTCAAGTGCTTATTTTTTGCTTTTCTTTAAAATGTCTTGTTGTGATTTCTTTTGAGGGGAGGAATAGCTACAAATGAGAAGACTGAGAGATCACAAGTTGTTTGGGTTGGGGTATTTTCTCTTCATGGAGCTGATTCTGTGTAAAGGCATAATGGCTCCTGGCAAGCCAAGAACATTTCTGTCACGTTTTGAAACGAACTTGGATCATGCTGGGTAAAGCATAAATCTGACTTTGCGATAAGGAGTCTCACTAACTGATTTTGAGCTCTGTCAAGAATCAATTACAGGCAGTGTTAGCTTCAGACTATAACCATGCCTTAATCCCCGGGTATGCTTTGGAACTTGGGATAGAGAAGAAGTTAATGCACATGCTTGAAACACTATGCCGAAAAAGAAGGCATCGTGTTCCACTCTCTGATGATGTGTCTTTTCTGTCTCTTTTCAGGGACCCTCTGAAAATCCAGCAGCTTCAGAACCAAATCCGCTTGGAGCAAGAGGCCAGCGCCCTGCGGAGCGCGCCGCCCTCGCCGCCCTTCCCGCCACCGCCAGCCTTCCCCGAGCTCGCGGCCTGCGCGCCGCCCGCCGCTGCGGAGCCCATGAGCGCGCTGGCCTCCCGCGGCGCCCCCGCCATGCAGTCCTCGGGCTCCTTCAACTACGCGCGCCCCAAGCAGTTCATCGCCGCGCAGAACCTGGGCCCAGCGTCGGGCCACGGCACGCCCACCTCCAGCCCCAGCTCCTCCAGCCTCCCGTCGCCCATGTCGCCGACGCTGAAACAGTTCGGCCGTGCGCCCTTGCCACCCTTCGCGCAGCCCTTTGGCGCCGAGGTCGAGGCTCCGTGGGGCCCGTCTTCGCCATCGCCCCCGCCTCCACCTCCGCCCCCGCCGCCTCCGGTCTTCAGCCCCACCGCGGCCTTCTCGGCTCCCGAGGTGTTCCCGCTGCCGTCGCCACCGCCACCGCTGCTCCTGAGCTCTGGCTCCCACTGTTCCTCGCCCGTGGCCCGCTACAGCCATGGTCAGACGCCCGCTGGCTTCCTCAGCTCCCTGCTGCCCTCGCAGCCGCAGCCTGTCGCTGTCAACGCCTTGGGGCTGCCCAAGGGTGTCACCCCCGCGTGAGTGGCAGCTCCTCTTACTACTACCACACAGTGCAACTCCCACACCCCTGTCAAAGTGTGCCAGACATTAGAACACAGGAACATATTGTCAGTTTTAATATCTCCCTGCATCCATGTCTTACATTCTATCCCAGCAGCTTTACTAAACTGTTCTTGCACACCTCAGCTACCAAGTACCATTACTAAGAGCAACACTTCTTCCCCCTAATTAGAAAATCTAAAATCCTCATCAAAAACTGTCCACAATTTCTTATTGTGAGTGTTCTTAGTTATGGCTATGATGTTGGCATTCAGAAAAACCTTTTCTTTAGTTTTACATGCCATCCATTATCATAATTATTACTAATATTGTGTACACCCCCCCCCCCCGAACCTTTTGTTAAGCAATTTTTCTATGTTGTCTCATTTGGTAACAACATTCCCAAGAGGTGTCATTGTTCTACTTGCAATTTAGGATTGATTCCAGTAGTAAAATTATTTACCCAACTCCCAATAGGGACCTCTGGTGGCCTGAGTGGTAAGGAGCTGCACCGGCAGCCCACAGGTATGTGGTGGAATCCACCAGCTCCTCCGTGGGAGAAGGATGGACAGTCTCCTCCCTTGGAATTAATTACCTTTAAAAACCTGCTTGAGGGTCAGCTATGGGTCAGTTCCACAGTACACAACAACAATAAGGTCATATAGCAAAAACACTGGCAATGAACCCAGGTCCTACTCCAAAACCCGTGCTTTACCACCAAACTACTTATTCAGGTTAGTATTCTAATCATTAGTAAGTTTCTTTATGATTAAGCATATATTTAGTGGTTTTGAAATGCCCAAATTAACATAATTAAGAAATAATTCCTTGCCCACATCTGTTAATATATTGTAAAGGGGGATGACATGTAAATTCTTATTGTTTATGCAAATATATGAGGGCAATATGCAATCTAGTGGAGAAATGAGCTTTCCAGCTGTAATCACTAGGTAAATTATATATGTCTTTTCTTCCTCGGTTTTCCTTGTGGAGTATCTAATACCTGTCCTAGTATTCACGTTGATAATGTGGCAGCTTTTTGAAATCTTTAAAGTAGTAAACTATAAGTAGCCCTGGTGTGGTTGTTGGTTACGTTGCTGCTAACTGAAAGGTTGGCCATCTGAAGGCATCAGCCACAGTTTATTCCTGCTGTAAAAATATAAAGCTTCTGAAAACCCAAGAGGATTAGCCTGGGTCAGAATTGACTCAGTGCAATGGGCGGGTATGAGGATACGTAAGATGATATAAAAAGTAGAGTAGAACTTTCAAAAGAAACATCATTGAGGTGTTTGGAAAATGTTATTGAAGTCAACCCATTTTAATAAAATGTTGAAAAATTAAATGTTAGCTTACAAAGGTTAAGCCAGTTACCATAATTCTGCTTTTCCTGTTGAAATTCTGCTTCAGAGTATATGTCACTCACTCACTCTCAAACTCATTGCTATCAAATCAGACCCCATTCATAGCTGATCCTCCAGGGGTTTTTCAGAGGCTATAAATTACATGAGATGAGATTGCCCAACTTCATTCCAAGGAGCCATGGGTGTAATCGAACCACATACCTTAGAGTGGCAGTGCTACTGCTTCCACTAGGCCACCAGAACTCTGTGCAGCCTCAGAAATCCAATTGAGAGTCAGCGATGAGTCATTTCTGACTCCATGACAATGAGAGATTGAAAGTTGAATCAGTCTAGAACTTTGTTTTTTTCTCTTATATAGTCTTTTACTTGCTTGACTTACCAGTGAGGGTGGAAATGATTTCTACTCTGAAAGCCCCATAAGAGTCAGAATAAAATGACTCCACAGGCTTTCAATGGCTTATTCTTTTAGAAATAGATCACCAAGTCTTACTTAGATTTAAAAAAAAAAAAAAGTTGTTGCATTACATTTTTTGCTCCCTTAGTATAAAATAATACCAGGTCTTGCTTCCAATTAAAAACCAAATTTTAATATGCCTCATCTAGAATCTGATCTAAGATTAGTCTTTCAAAGGGATTGAGTGAGGAAACCTCTTAGCCTCTAAAGCAGAAACAGTGGTTTATTCTGATCTTTGATGTTGAAACTCTTAAGATAAACAATTTTAAGGGCTTACCCAAGAAACAGAAGCACTTGTTCCTTTTCGGTACTTTTCTAATTACTCATTTAATCAAGTCAAAATACTTGATAATTGTTGCACAATAAGTGTGATGAGTCCTGATATTTCTTTAACCAAAAAAAAAAATGGAGCCATCATTCTGATGTTGTGGTTGTAAAAAACCCCTATGCCCCAAGATAGTAATATGCTGTGTACCAAAGATAAGTGCTAATGGAAATTTTTAGCTTCTTGTCAGTCCAGTGAGTCATTTTTATGGTAGCTTTTTATTTTCAAATAGATCTCTCATGACATAGTGAGTTGCACTGTTATCTGGAGGGTCAGCATGGTCAACAGTTCAAATCCACTTGAAGCTATGATGGAGAAAGATAGACAATCTCCTCCTGTAAATATTTACCGCCTTGGAAACCCAGTAAATGGTCACTGTGTATTGTAATCAATTTGGCAGCCTTGGGATCCCCCCCCACCCTGCCCCTCAGGGAATTTTCTTTTTGTTGAGTTGCAACACTGGATAATTCATTCTTTTGATGTGATAAATATGCCTTTTGAAACATTTTTCCATCTGGCATATTGTGGGACCTGTAATTTCAATTCTCAATTAAAAACAATGTTTTAATTTTTCATAATAATGCAAATAATTTACCAAGAATTGTGTACCCCTTTCAGGCCACTATGACAAATTGGCATCCTTGAACTTCTAGGAACTACTAAATTACTGCCAAATGGCTTGTTTTATTATAAAAGATGAATTACTTTCCTTTCTATTTTTCTGGAAATTTGTGGTGATTACCATGGCAAGTTCAATTTCAGTCATATTTCTGGTTGGGTAGCTTGCCATTTAATATCAGCAACAAGATTGATTACAGGCGATTTATTGAACTAAGAGGTAATAAGGTTTCTTTTTTCACTTTCCTTGCTTTATCAGTATCTTAAATACAAGTTTCAAATGTGTTTAATCATCAGTTGTACACTTGCTATTTTACCTGTGCACTTAGAAGCAATGTTCATATTCTTGTATGCTGGAGAAGACTAGGTTGGTGTAAATGAAGTTTGTAACTAATCCATGGAGATAAAAGTTCTGTTTCTCATGTGTCTGGATAGCAGAGTTCAAGGCAGGGAACAGAAACCGCGGTGCCAGTGAGAAACCACAAATCAAGAAGGCAAAAAGCCAGTGAGCCTCGCACAGACTGGCAGCAACCGCGTGCAGTCTTTGGTTGATTGTGGTTTGGGGACCGTCTTCACTTCCACTGCCTCCAGTGCCTTTCTTCAGGCGGTTGCATTCTTCCCCAAGGTTACAGGGGTCACTAGCTGAGAAAATATCTGCTTGCTCAAAGCTGTTGACAGACACAGAAGTTAAGCTGACTAAATCTTTCAGATAGAGGCATTGAGGAGAACATGCCTTAGGAAGAAAGCTGTTTGCACTTTTGTGAAGGTAATGCATCCTGCTTCCCTCATCACAGCTGATAGTTATTTTTACAGCTTCTGTTGCTGCTGCTGTGCTCCTCTACCCTGTAAATCAAGACCTAAGAGAGGATAAGAGTGCAGATGATTGGGGAGTACCACACAGGCAAAACAAAGCTGCAAAGTCTCACACCTCATTTCTGCCTTTTCTGGTCTCCGAGTAACTACACCGAGTCTGAAAGATGAGTCAGATCACATCCATCCTTGGGAAGCATAATGACCCTGTGGTCCTTTGCCCACCTCCGCATTCTTGAAATCTGTTCTCACAAGGCAATGCCACATAGTCACAATGCTACAATAGTCTATACTCTTAATTGTTTCTTTTATGTAAAGAGGCGTCTGCTCTGAAAAGTTATCCCATGTTTGTCACAACGGCTTGTATCAGTAAGACCTTTTATATAGTTGTGTTAATGAGAACTTTTATTCTATAGGCACTCCGTTCATTGCAGACAGTATCTCATTGTCCCTCTTTCTTGGGTAGGTTGAGGGTATTGTCATCATCCTACCTTCTAGGTGAGAGGCATGAAGAGAAGATTTCCCAGGGTTCTGGGATAAACCTGAGCAAAGACATAGGGCAGTGTGACTTCACCTCATTGGTCTTGCTTCTGTTGATCTCTAATATTTATTGATCAAAGGAAACAGCTATGGAAAAGCAACAAATAAAATCACCTGAGTCATAAGGAAAAGTTTATAGTGGATTTAGGGTTTAGTTTTACTTTTAAATTCATGGTAATTTGCTAAGAAAGACAGTAATTAAAAGATCCATTCCAAACCCCATGCCATTGAGTTGGTTCAAACTCACAGTGACTCTGGGACAGAGTAGATCTGTCCATAGTTTCTGGAATGATAAATCTTTAGGGAGTTGGACTACCATGTCTTTCTCTCAGAGAGTGGAATGGTGGTTTTGAACCACAAACTTTTTGGATAGCAGTTGAATGCTTTAACCATTATGCCACCAGGGTTCCTTGTAGTTAGATGGGTAGGTGCTGGAGAGTCAAGTATAACTCATAGCGACCCTATCTACAACAGAACTGAAGCCTGTCCTATCCTATGCCATCTCTGGCATCCTTGAACCTGTTGCAGTCACTGTGTCAATCCATCTGGTTAAAGCTCTTCCTCTTCTTTACCACCTTTCCAGGCATGATATCTGTAAAGAGAACAAGGGCCACATGGAAACAGCCATATCTGACCTTTACTAACTTCACAAAGGGGAACTGTCCTTGTCAATAGCATAAACAACACAAAACCAATTCCTGTGAAGTCAGATATGTCCACCACGCTCCTGGACGTCTTCCTACACATCTCAGCACCAGTCTTACTACTTTACAGGGTCCAAAATCTGATTACAGAACCAAGCTGGGGAAGTACAGTTTAATAGTAGAATACAGCTTCTGAAATGTGCTCGCAGGCACCTGTTGAAACTCA